CACAGACATACACACACAGACATACACACACAGACATACAGACACAGACATACACACACAGACATACATACACACACATACACATATACACATACAACACATATACATACATGTACACACACACGTACACACACACACGTACACACACACACACATACATGCACACACATACATACATACACACAGCTGTACATATTCATGTTAGCAGAATATATTACAGAACTTCCTTAAATGAATTCAATAATTTGAAAGTGTAATATTCGATTACTGTGATGAATTTTTCGAATTTTGCACTTATGAATACTATCAAAAACATCTTTATTTAAAGGAAAAAAAAAAACATTATTTATTTTTGATAGTATATTTATATTTATGTAATTTGATAATGTTTATATTTATGATGAATTTTTTAATTGTTGCATGTATAACTTACTATCAATCATATATTAATAAGATATATTTTTGATAAATTCTTTCAAAATTGATTAAGCAATTAATTAACATAATCCATATGATACTTAATTGTTGCAACTATTTTTGTTTACGATTATGATATGTTACAGAATTTTGGGCATTAGTGAATAATGCAGGATCACTGGGAGTTCATGGATATGATGATTGGTGCACGGTAGAAGATTATGCAAAAGATTTAAATGTCAATACTCTCGGTGTTATTCGAGTTACACATGTTAGTATTAATTGTGTTTTCAGAATAACAAAAAAAAAAAAGAAACTTTTTATACTTTTTTTGTTTTATTCATTCTTTTTCTGCTTTTCAATTAATTTCAATTTTATGAGTTTTGCTCCAAATTCTAAAATCTCAATTTAATTGAAGAAAAAAAATTGTTTTTATCTTTATCATTGAATGAATTATTATTTAATTATATTATAAAATGAAAATAAACTAAATAAGCATTGTAATATTTTAGGCATTTATGCCATTGCTAAAACAATCTCGTGGTCGAGTAGTAGCAATAACAAGTGTCTGTGGCCGTTTGGCATTACCTGGAATTGGCCCATATACTGTTTCAAAATTTGCTACTGAAGCATATATCAATATTTTACGGTAATTTGTAGATTTTTATTAGGACGAGAAAATTTTCACAAAAATTTTATTGATTAAATTTTTGCAAAGATTTAAACAATTAATTATTAAGCTAATTGTTGATACATATAATACATATTCTTTTTGTTAAAATTTTTCAATTTTTAATATTAGTTTTTTTTTTTTTGTTCAATATGATACGATAAAATAATTTTGGGATAAGTAAAATTTTGTCAATGTTTATTTTTTATTAGATATTGATAAGTTTGAAAATATTTGTTTTTGAAGGAAAATTTTTAATAAATAAAAAAAAAGCATTTTTTGAAGGAATTTGGATTTAATAGTAATATTTTAGCCAAGAGGTACGAGAATTTGGCATTCATTGTGCAATTTTGGAACCGGGCCGGTTTCAAACCAGTCTTATGGATAAGAAAGCATTGATTGATCGTATTAATCGTGCATGGAATCGATTAGATAATACTCGAAAAGCTGAATATGGCGGTGAAGCATTCAAAGAATTATGTAAGTCTTTTTTTTTTCTTTTTATTGCAAATTTTAAATGGAATTTTGGAAATTGGATCAGAAATGGTTGCAAATTTGAAACGGAACTAATTATAATCTATGCAGTATACATGGAAATTTAAATAAGAGGGACGTTTTAACTATTAGAACTGTTGAAATGTGATGCGGAATGTTTGTAGATATCGCTTTATTGATAAGATCTTCCAATTCTTCAACTCTCATAATGAGCGAAACCTTTGTCGTAACAAAAGCGTGGGGATTCCCCCACTTCAATATAATGAAAACCCCATTGCTTACACAACTTTCCCATGCCGGGAATCGAACCCGGGCCGCTTGGGCAAAAGCCACTAGACCATATGGGATTCACATTGCAGATATCAAAAAGTAAAATTTAAATACAAAGGATTGAAATTTCAGATTGTAAATTAAAATTATGTGGTATTTTAAGTTTGATTGAAAATTTCAATCACTTATTTTAACATCTTTATTTTTAATTTTTTTTAGTTATGTTTACTCGAAATCATTAGTTCTCGTTTGTATCTTTACGTGATTAATTTTTACTCAATGAAAATTGTGAAAAATAAAATCAAGTAGAAAATGAAAATTTTCAATTGTAAATAATGCATTTCAAATTTGGTTATTTTTTACGAATTCTTTTGAGAATTTCTAAAATTTTATAAAAATTATTCCATGTATTTATGCATGAAGATTGAAAATATCTCTTTAAATAATATTCAAAACAAATTCATTACTTTAATTCTTCTTTAATACTATACTTAATCAATCAACAGTTAAGTATAGTATTAACTTTGCTCAAATAACTAATAACTAAATAAATGATAAATTTTTAATCGTAGATAATAAACTATAGCTAATTAAATTTGAGATCGATAATTTCGAATAAAATAATTTCATATTTTGAATTTCATACTGCGTACAAAGGAATTCGATCTTTCAGATTGTGATCGTTGGTGTGAATTTCTCCACGATGGCGCGTCACTCTCGGTGAATTTGGTGGTTGATTCGTACTATCATGCGATCACGAGTAATTTTCCACGATATCGTTATTATATTGGATTGGATTCGGTATTTTTGCTACTTTTATTGGTTCCCATCAAAATACGAGATTTTCTCATATGTGACTTTTATTCTTCCATAACTGGATGGCCACCGAAAGTAATCACGTCAACATTTAATCTTTTCAATAGCTACCTTATGTTGAAAAATACCATTATTAATTGGTGCGGAAAAAAAATTACAAGAAATGAAATAATTTCAAATCATAGCTAAATTTTTCTTTAAAAATTTCCGCTTAACTATTTAATTTTCATAGACAATTTTTTGTAATATTTGGTTAAAAATTATCTGTTATCTTATCATACTATAATGATATTCTTTCAAGTTTAGCTGTATATAAAATAAGCAATAAGTGCCCGTAAATGAAAACGTTAAGCATTTTAGGAATAGTATACATATTTGTGATAAATCTGATGGAAAAAACAATTCAGTTTATTAAAAGCATTGAAAGAAGTGAGTGTAACTGATGAATAACTATAAAAATATACGGTGCATACAGCATATACGATGCAGTGTATATGATAATTTCGTAACAACAAAAAATATAGGAAGATATCAGTTATATTTTAATGTTACTTCTATCTTTATATTTATAATTTTGGAAGCAATGATATAATGAACAATAGTATACTGTAATCGTACCGTAGTATTTGTACAAAAATGATTTGCAATTTTAGTGCTCAAAAGATGCTATTAAATTGAATGTAATACTTGAATATTAGCTTAAAATTGATCACTTGATAAGGATTGATGATAACGAATTGATGGATAGGGTGTATAGATGAAAATTATGAATAATGCTACTGAAAATTTTAATTAGTGGCGATGATCATTTTTAACAAATGTGAAAATCAAAAAACTAAAAAATAAATTCATTATTGATTTCCAATATTCGATTTCAACCTTAAATTCCAAATTTTCTTCGTAAATTTTAATTCATATCAATCTATAATATTACTGTTGGAAGGAAATTGAAAAATGTGAGTGATATTTGTGAATTAAAAAAAATCAAATTGCATTTCATCCCAATTTTTCTTTTTTGTATCTGAATCCATAAAGTTTATTGCAATTTTTGGTTATGAATAGAGGATGGACAAATGTGACAGTTCAATCATTTATTCGATCATAGTCGATTTTCTTCTTCTCTACCTCTTTTATCAAATTAATTCAACGTACAATTCGTCAATTTGGGTCATTTTCAATGCAGGACCAGTTGTACTTTGTATCCAAAAATAAAAATAAAAAAAGATCGTTTTTTTTTGTTTTTTAAAAAGACGTCATTTTATTAAATATGCCTTATTGCTAATAGATTTTGCTTGTTAAAACTGTTCTATTGTATATAAAAATCCAAAAACTGTCATTTGTTTCTATAAAATGTCATTTTCAAAATTTTTTACTTTTCTTTTTTTGGAGATAAATTCTTGATCATTTTTATTTGCTTAAAATGTGCTATTTTAGTCTATAAAATTGAGGATTATATTTTAATTGAAATCGGCTTATTAATATCGTCTTTTAGTGTTTGATAACAACTATTTTTTGTATTTGATAACACTTTAGCTATGTTTGGTATTTGATAAAATCAGTTATTATAAGACGAAGAACGGACAATTTTGAAAATTTTATGTTAGTAATGATCATAAATGAATCACAACCGTGATGAAATGGGTAATACATATTAAAACATTTGGAAATAATAACAAGTTAAAGCTAAATTTTAAATCGAATTTATTAATAAGTCAATTCGTTTGATAATATTTGAAATATTGAAAGCATTATGTTGGACCTACTTTGAAGATATTTTTAACGAAAAAAAATAAAATTTTAAACAAAAAAGGTACATTTTGACATTTACGAAGAATAATTCCAATAATTTGAGAAATTTTTATTATATTTCTTTCGTATTTAAAATATTAGTTTATAGCAGTGCATAAAGGGATAAAAAATTTCAAGAATAAACATTTGAAATGCAATAAAAAAAGATGATTGAATAACTTTAACTGAAATGAAAATCGTTTATATATATGCATATATGAATTATAGTAATTTTAGTAGGGAGAATGTGTTCCGCTAATTGTTTTAAAATCTTGCAATTGAATTTCGTATCCACGCAATAAGATTTTAAAATTCAAGATTTGATTTCGAAAGTCTTGTTTCATCATGCATGAAAGAAATAATATGCGGTAATTAATTCAATTAAATAATTAGTTCCTTCTTGCTTTTCTTTTTTTTTTTCATAGTTGTTTCAACATCAATGTTTGTGACATTTATATAAATTATAAAAAATTAAATACATTACTTTCTTTTACTTTTTCACGCTTATCAGCGTAAAAATTCTACAAATTTAACAAATAAATAAAATTAAAATTTGCAAACAAACTGATAGTATTCTTTAGTTTTTTTTTCTCTAATCCTTAAAATTATTCCTTTTTTTCTAATTAATGATTTAAAA